GCACGCTCTCTCAAAAAAATACTAAAACCATCCAGGTTTGTTTACATTGGAAAACTTGACACAAGACAGATAACTGCCAGGCATACAAAGGAAACTGCCTTTGTCAACTCTGACAAACTCTACCCGCACGCAGGCCAGCTTTTCTCCCTGATTTTCATAAAAAGATGGGAAACAAACACTGGAAAACCCATCGACTACAAGATTTCTGTTAACAGAAGCTGGCGTTTAATTTTGTGAGATGTGTCTATGCTGTGTTAGATTTACAACATTTTATGTAACTCAATGCTAAGCAAGCCATTGTCTGAAGCCTCCATCCCATTAACTACCAAAACCCATTTAAAGGCCATAGTCAATGTCCTCCTGATTGTTTCTCAACATTAACTAAAAGTGATTTTAGAGCATTTGGATCATTTTCATTACAACAGAGCCCGTAAGTATTTCGATTCTACAAGCGTAATTACAATATGAATAGCTCTGCTTCCTACCTAAGTAGTCTTCTCTCTAAATTGTTATTGATTGTTCTACAAAACACAACGAAGAGAATAACAAGTTGCACAGCTTTGCCTTTATTTGATCTTTACATATTAAAATGTGGCCGTACCAGAATGAATTCTTATTGATTGAAATAAGCCTTGCCCTCATTACATAAGAATATCATAAAAAAGACTTGAAAAATTGACCAAATTCCAATCCCCTAACATAACTATTATTTTTACACATCCCTTTCAGTTTGTTTCTACATATATTTATTGCACAGTTTTTCTACATTGCTGAGTGTGGTTCCCTAAGTATAATACAGGGCTGACTCATTGCCACTAATGAGAGCGCCACACCTCTATAGAGCTTTGGTCATGTCTCAGGGAGGGAAGGGCAAGATCCAATTTTATGGAAATTTTGGAGTTTTGTTTAAGGTGGGACTTACTTTCAATGAGCAGGCATTAAGACTGGGTAAACGTCATGATATAAGTGTTCGGATTTGATGGAAATAGCAAGGCGAGAATTTTGGGTTGAGGGTTTCAAAAAGTCTTAGGCTATAACTGTCAGTTGATGCTTTCTGATAATTTGATAAGATCTGTTGAGAAGTTCCTATTATGAACAATAAAGTTATTTGCCTCTCCAAGAGATGCGTTGTAGAGTAAACTTACGCTTATGAACACTGGAATATGGAGTCCTATTCATGCAAACAACAGCTGTATGGGGTAGTTTCAGTTCTCAATGTGTATGTTTTATATAGTTATAATCACAGTAAACCTGGACAAATTATCCTTATTTTATCTTTATTTGTAGTATGTATTTGCATATAACATATATGTAAAGGCAAAGTATATATTCCCTAATTCATTGAGCCATTCCCCTGTTAATTGACATTATATTGTTTCCAAGGTCTTGCTCCTACAAATAACACCACTTTGACTCTTCTTACATACAACTTTGCCCATGTTCGGATTATTGCCTTACAATGTATTCCTACACTGAAATTGCAAAGGCAGAGGAATGATGATTTTTATCATTCTTTTGTATATTGGCAAATCTATTCCCAAAAGTGTTGTGCCAATCTTAATGCCACCAGCAATATCTTTCCAAAACTGGCTATTGATGCAGTATTTTGTGCTATGTGGGAAGAAAATATTGCTGCCTTACCCAAAATTTGAGAAAATGTTAATAAGTCTTTTACAGAATCTTGTGCTAAGGAAATTGATATCCTTACAAAGGAAATGAAAAAGAGAGATGAGAAGACAGAAAAGTTAACAAGCTAATGCTGATACTCACACGGCACCTACTGAAAATTCTTCATCCCAGAGAAGAGATTGCTAGGAAAATCCTCTGTATCAAACGTTAGAAAACCCTTAGCATTCTCTACACAAGTACAACCTCACTTATCCAGAGTTTACCCCTGTCATTCACAATCAGTGAAGGAATCCAAAACCTAGAAGTGAGGACAATGACCTGAAGAACTGTAGTCAACACCATAGTCTCCTGAGTGAACTGTTCCCAAGAAGATGAGGCTAATAAAAAGTCTGGTGTGTTTGAACTTTAATGAAGAATAAGTCCTTAGTGTTGAGAGATGGACAACATGGGTTTCTAGAAAGCTATGCAAGTGAAAAAAAAAAACATGAAGTTAATTCCAGAGAACAAAAAAATTTTGTAAAAGCAAATGTAATTATATAGTACACTGTGTGGGTCAACTACCTATAATATTTACATAGTCATGGAAACGTAAAACATATATTGATCTAATTCCAAATTATAATATAATTAGACTGGAAAGACAAGGGTGAGGAAGGAATTTGTATGCACAGAGAATAAAATAAATTCTCATCTTCTATAACGGAATGTCAATAGTGAAGGGGAGGAAGAAATTTTCCTTAGTCCAAGGTTCTGTTCTGTTCTAGCTGGGCTAAGAATTAAGTCTACATGAGACGTAAAACGTCATTTTCTCTATGATCCAAAAGTTTACTCCCAAAAATAGTGTAAGAGAGCAAAGACCACCGTTGCACAAGTGGTGAGAATATATGGAATCTCCAGTCTCCCACAAATGGGAGACCCCTCCAGGCACAGACTAGCTAATCTGTGACACTAGGCAGGCAGTACTGGAATGGGACTTGCAGCACTAATAAGCAACAAAGGTTGAGACAACAAAGGTCCCTTGTGGGCTGGGACCTCTTATAACAGATTCCTGAGCGCTGGCAGGGCTGGACAAAGAGAGTGCTGCTTAATAATATATGTCTCAGATCCCCATTCTAGTTGACTGGCCACCAAGGTGCATCCCGGTAAGGGCACCCTCCCCAATGGTGAAGACCACAGGGAATACTCTCACTAATCACAAAGTCAAGCTCTTTGACACAGAACAAGACAAAAAGGAAAAACCTCATCCTATTTCTCTTATGTACACATTAACAACTTTAGCTCAGCCTTGGATCTTTTGGAGCCATGCTAATACCTAGGAGGGATGTGCCACAGGGTTAGAGATTGTGTGTTTTATAGTGTATTTCATCGCACAGGACTTTTTTTTTTGAGGTTTCTGGGTGACCTAGTGTCAATCTAATCCATTCCGTGACCAACTTATCCTAACACGGGAGCCTTTGGGTCAGGTGGTGAATGCTCTAACAGCTTTTAAGTGCTCCACTCATGCCCACCAACTCTGTAGCTTTAGCTTCCAACACATTCCGTAGCAATAGCCTTTACCTCATATGCACATTAGCCCACAACAAAGTTTGTCTAAATAGACACTGGTCTGATGAGAATCATTGAATCCACTCGTCTGTGAAGCCAGTCTCAACAGTTGGCTTATAGGGTCCATGCCTGCATTCTGCCCTATGGTGGGTTTGGTTTTGTTTTTGTTTTTGTTTTTGTTTTAATGACAAATGGCATAAAAGACAAGCAAAGAAAAACAAAGACCATCTCTGGGAGGAAATGGATCAGTAACCCAAGGGTACTCTACCAAATTTTTACCAAGAGTCCCTAAGCCCTAGGAACTAGTTCCAATACTTTATCTGCTAAGTTTAGAGAGAATAAAAATCTCCCCCTTCTCACTCCATCTGACCCCACAGACAGAGATTTCAGGAGGCTGACATAAGAAGTCTTACCTTCTGGTTTTATGTCATAGGTCCCAAGATCTCAAAGCTGCTGAATCTTCAGAGCCAATGTCCAGTAGAAGTTTATTCTGCTGTGTCAGGTGAAGGGGAGGAAGAAATTTTTCCTGCTCCAGAGTTCTTCTAGCTGGGCTAAGAATTAAATTTACATCAGATAGATTAACAGGAGAAAATAAACCAGTTTTATTACATGAGCATGGAAGCCCAATTATGCAATTGAGACCTAAAGAATGTCCAATGCAGGCAGCCTTTATACGTTTTAGACAGAGACCATAAATCCATAAGGAATTGACAGGACAAAGAAAACTTAACTTTGGAACCTTCAATTAGTAAGGAATTCTAAATGGAATTTGGGCTGCGGTAGTAAATTAGTAAAAAGGAACAAGGGTGGTTTATACAGCCTTCTTGGCTCTAAATTTCCTATCTTTGGTGATAAGGATGTCTCTTTAACTCCTGGTACAGGAAGGGTACCTTTCACATGGGAGATTTATTTGCGGCTTTCAGGGGAACAGAGGAGGGTCTGAATGTCCTTCTCACTGTCTCTTAAATAAATTTTATTTAAGGAACTCAATATGCCAAAGTAGCACATTTTGGGCAGCCTGCCCTTGATCCCTGTAATTGAATATGCTTAAATTTTAAAGACAGTCAAAAAAATAGGAGGGATGGGTTGGCTGGGTGATAGACGTTGGGGAGGGTGTGTGCTATGGTGAGCGCTGTGAAATGTGTAAGACTGTTGAATCACAGACCTGTACCCCTGAAACAAA